CTGCTTGAGCCTTGGCTCTGGGTTTTCCACGGTATTAACCTGGCCCATTGTGTTGAGTTGTACATTTTTGTTAAGGCCAGCAACTTTTATGAATTAACCAACTTTGGCTGCCTCTATTCACCTTTCATATATGCTTATACACATACATACGTGGACTTCATTGAGACCTCAAAATTTGATAGCGATAAAAATTCGGCGTTGATATAAATAGACGTAATTTCTAGAAAGCTTTTCACTGTCATGTGCTTGCAATATCTATATCTACGATTCCGTTGGCCAAAAAAAAAAAAAATTAATGAAAATACGTTTGGGAATATATATATTGAATTTTCTAAGAGTCACCTTATGCATATATTCATTTAATATTTTCCGCATGACCAAACAATTAAAAAAGAATATAAATATTATTTTTGCTGTTTACCAAATCAAGAAAATAAATGTTCACCTGTGGCCATTTTCAAAGGTAAACAAACCGAAAAATTATAAGTCCAGTTCCGAAAAATGTAGAAAATATTCCATTGGGGTGAGAATATGTTAAACATGACAAATGAAATTTTTAAATTTGTTGTGCAAACATCCTCATCGGTTGGCATTCATTCGCACATATATAATAACTAAATGCACATGCAAAAAAATATTAAATTTTATATATATATATACATATATAAGAGCTATATAGTTGAGCTTTAAGTACTCTTATTTTGTTTTGGCTTTTGGCCTTTTATGATATTTGCACTAGATGTCATTCAAACTATGTCATTGAGGGCATGTTTTTTGCGCTCAAAAGGCAAATGAACTTTAGAGAAAAAATTGCTTAAATTGTTTTATCCTTGAATTGGCTTTGCTTTGGGGAAAATCATCAACATATTGTTTCCAAGTTTGTTTTATATTCATTTCGAAAAGCTCTTTAAGATCACAAGACTTGGCAATGTTTATCACCTTCAGACGGCTTTGCTGACATTTCGCTCAACTCTGGCGGCTTATCAGGCAATTGTTATCAGCGCTACGCAGCAAATACGAAAACTAGGGAATCTTTACAATTATTAGGAAATATTCCGAAATGAATGTTGTATTGTTGTATTGTACACACAAAACAAAATTAGCTCATTACGTAAGTCCTCTCGTAACCGAAGAGGGCACGTCTCGCACTCACGACTCTCACAAATCTCGCAAATTGGTATTACATACAATTACACAAATGTCTACACACATATATATATATAACATATATGTATGGTTGGCAAAATAAAACGCATAGGGGTTGTTGGGGAGTGCTTGGCGCGTGTTTGTATTTTTTTTTTGCTGCTGTCGCTGCTTTCGCAAAAATTTTCTTATTTTAGAACTAGTTGCGTATTCGTATTGAGATTGTCTTCCGCATTGTGTGTGTTTATTTCTTGTTTGGCTTTGGCTTGGTTTTTTGTCTTTTGCCGCGTACGAATAGGAGATGCGCGTGGGTAACAGCTTATTTGGATTATCTTGTGTGCCAGCCATATGTTGCATTACATATAATTCCGGTCATGATCCAAAACTAATGCAATACTTACAGGCGGGCGTGCAAGGATGGCTGATGTCGTTGATGTTGCTGTTGGGCGGAAAAGTAAACCCCTCGGAAGCGCAATTGGTCTGACTTGAATCATAGTTTGATTATTTTGTATGCCCGTAGCTAGACGAATTCAGTATCTTTCATAATCCTCCATGTCCAATTATAACTAGTTTATATATATTTGTTAAGGCTTAGACTAAGCATTACGCTAATTTTCGTTTTATTAATTTCTTGTTATTTTGATCCGTTACAGTACCTCGACATTGGCGAGGATATGAATGTACCTGATGACTTTACGCAGAAGGAAATGCAGACAGGTCTCTGGTGGCGACACCTTGTTGCCGGTGGCATCGCTGGTGCAGTGTCGCGTACGTGCACAGCTCCGCTGGACAGAGTTAAAGTGTTTTTGCAGGTAATGAACGCAGTGCAAACCCCCCCTTTCATTGATTATCAATTCAATTAATTCATTCTCTTTTGCCCGCAGGTGCAAACGTGTAAAATGGGAATCTCAGAGTGTATGAAGATATTGCTTAAAGAAGGTGGCTCGCGCAGCATGTGGCGCGGCAATGGTATCAATGTCTTGAAGATTGCACCAGAAACGGCGCTCAAATTTGCCGCCTATGAGCAAATGAAGCGGCTGATACGTGGCAATGACTCGACACGCCAAATGACAATTGTCGAGCGCTTCTACGCGGGTGCCGCGGCTGGAGGCATTTCGCAGACCATCATCTATCCCATGGAAGTATTAAAAACGCGGTTAGCCCTTCGCAAGACCGGTCAGTACGCAGGCATAGCCGATGCGGCGACCAAAATCTACAAACACGAAGGCGCGCGCAGCTTTTACCGTGGATACGTGCCCAACATTTTGGGCATATTGCCATACGCCGGCATCGATCTGGCCGTATACGAGACGCTCAAACGCCGATATATAGCCAGCCATGATAACAATGAGCAGCCCAGCTTCCTGGTGCTGTTGGCCTGCGGCAGTACATCGAGCGCGCTTGGTCAACTGTGCTCCTACCCGCTGGCCCTAGTACGCACGCGGCTACAGGCACAAGGTGAGTTTCCAAAACCTGTTTATTGTGTGCTTCGGGTTCTAATTAAAAATTATTCTGTTTATTTAGCCGCCGAGACGATTTCTAGCCAGACGCGAAAAACACAGATTCCATTGAAAAGCAGCGATGCGCACAGCGGCGAGGAGACAATGACGGGATTGTTCCGCAAGATTGTGAGACAGGAGGGCCTAACGGGACTGTATCGTGGCATAACGCCAAATTTCCTGAAGGTGCTGCCCGCCGTTTCCATTAGTTACGTTGTCTACGAATATACAAGTCGAGCGCTGGGCATCAAGATGTCGTGATTTGTTTATCCCCCTCCTCATCTCCTGCGTGGCCGTCTGCAGTGCGGATGGTGCTATGCCGTGTGCCGAGTGCGGATGGCTCTAGTGCTGTGCTCCATTTTGTATAGTAGTAGTGGTAGATGTAAGATGTGGCGTGCCCGCCATTCGCTCTCTGCTGCATTGACAGACTCTTCTTTTTAAGACAAATGATTAGATGCTTTCCTTAAGTGTAGAACAAGCCTCTTCCATGCTCTTGGTGTATATTTCTATATAATTTATAGTTAAATTAGTTTTGGTTACTTTCTAAAAATACAAAATAAGTGATACTATGGCTAATTTATTTATAAATATGGAATATGTGAAATTTTAGGCATGTGGAGCAGGGCGCGATCAAATACCCAAGTTTCTTAACTTATCCTACAATCGCAGTAGGCTCAAGCCGTTGTAACTTTAAGTGCTAATTTATTAAAACAAACACAAAAGCAGGTAGATTATGTCAGAGCAGTATGTTTTAAATAAGTCGCGTGGTCGCAGTGCTATATCTATAAATACCAAAAAAAGAATAATGTAAACGAATCGAGCAGCTGCGCGAGATGCTGATGAAACTAACCGCAACACAACAAAATGGTTAAATTCGACTTCAAGCATTTTATCTCCGCAAACTCTGAAATTGTGGAGTGTCTAGACAACTATAATAAGCTACAAGGTTTTACCGCGTCCAAGTGCTTAAGCTGGGACAGGCGAAATAACTAAAAGAACATAAAGTGAGCGATAAAAATATTATAAAAACAAAAAAGTGGGGAAAATCAAACGAATGAATACTTAGGAGCGTTTTAAGCTTGTACACAAAAGACATAAACTACTCGTATTTGTTTAGCATAAAATTACTGAAATAACAATTAATACTTAACGTTTGAAATGTGATGATAATAGTTAATAATATACATACCTACATACATACAAACAAACATACATACATACATATAATAATACAAGTACCAACCTATGCGCTTCTAATCGGTCGCAGTTTTGTTCGACGGCGAGGCTGAAATTTTGTAGCATTTTATTTGTTAAGTTTAGTGACATTTTTTCTTAGATTGTATTTTGTGAAGAGCAAGTGAAGCCAACGAGATTAATTGTGACTAAAGCTAACAAACAAAATTATATTTATTTTATATATATATATATATTATGTGTATCACAAACCACAACAAAAAAAAATCAGTTTAACTTTTGAAATTTGTAAAAAGCAAAAAGTAACTGTTAAAGAAGAAAACTAAAAGTTAAAACATTTCTGTCTTATTATTTTCTACCTTACACTTAATTAGTCAATTGCATTTTTTTTTTTTACATTTTTAGTGAAAATAGTACTACATATTATGAATTCTCTTTTTTAATTGCGCATTTTTGTAAAATGTAACTGGCAAATCATGTTCAGCAAAACCCCAACATTTTCACCTATTTAATTAACACTCACCCTTGGAAATCAAAGACAAGTTCATATGCATTATTTAAAATAAACAAATAAATACAAACTTTAAACTACAAAAGCAACTTTTTTGTTTATCGATCAACTTGCATACAAATATTTATCCATTGGTATTAGAACAATAAATACCGATCTAGTCATTAAAAGGTTACAATTTGATTCTCTTTAAAAGTATAATCAAAGTAATATGCTCAATACGGTTTTTTTTTTCGTTAGATAGCAAATGTTAGGCATAATTCCAAAAAATATCTATCGTAACGTCTTTTTGTCTTTCCAAATATATAGTTGCAGATTAAACGATTATAAACATAAATAACTGTATGTTTAATATTTTATAAATACAATTAAATTGATATTCCATTAAATAACTTAATTGAATGTTTCAAGTCAAGAAATAAACAAAACAGCATAAACAATGAAATATACGTATATAATTGCATATATGGTACATGCCTGCATATATAAACATATATTTATATATTGTTATATTTTTGTACGTTTAGCTAATTTTTAAAACAAACATTATTTAATGTGATTTACATGCTCTACTCAAGTTACAAATATAAACGATATATAATAAATGCAAAGCATAATCCCTAACGTATTCATTTCTGCAATATAAGAGACTATGTGGCGTATGCGCAACGTCTGAGTAGTTCATCAGCACAATGTGGCGATCTCTGGCGGCGAGCTGGCGCAACTGAGGCGGACCGCATTCAAACGAGGTGAAAATGAACTAGGACCAGTTCAAATGCGAATCGGACGCAATTATTTTTAACGCGGCGAACTAAAAGTTCGGGGCTATTTTTGGAGGGTATCCGCCCGCCAGCTGTTTCCAATACTCAACTAAACGGAAAACGAGACGTGTCGTCGATTTTCAGCCGCCATTGCAACGAAAAAAATCATATTGCATTTTTATATAATTCAAGTTGGAAAGTTGTGTTAATAATGGAGTACGATCCGGACTATCAGAAGATCTGCTCTACGCGCACCGTGCAGTCCGATAAGAAGGGTTTCTTCAACGAGTTCTATTTGGATGTGCGGGATGCATGTGGCGACAAGTGGCTGCAAAACTATTTTGGAAAACTGAAATCGAATGCAGCTCGCATTCTGTCCATATTCAGTGATCGCGAGATCTGTGATCCGGTGCTCGGCGTCTTGGAGCATGTACAGCCGGTATATAAGCAGAAAGACGTACTCCTCTCGACACAGCGCCGTGCTCAGGCCGATAAGTTTTATCTGATGAGCACCAGTGCCGAGGTTGAGCAGGATCGTACAGAATTGCTGCAGCAGGCACTGATGCATGCCAATCTGGCCGTAATGCGGGCACCTGCTCCACATTTGGACGCGAGCGTTGACAATGGCCTTTCACTGGCCATGGCCTATCTGACGCGTGCCAACATTCTGATTGGTCTAGGCGAAGGCGAGGCAGCGTTAAGTGATCTCAAGCTGGCGGCCAATTTTGGAGTTGAGTCGAAGCAAAATGTGGAGTACTACTGCAAAATGGCCAAAGCTTACGCAGGCAAGTAACTGGGGAACATCATTAAATTGATATGTAATTAATTTTATTTCCATAGCTATGGCTGAGGGCGCACGCGCTGAGATCTCTCTGAAGATTGCCGAAAAGCTGGCGGGCTCGAATACAGCCATAATCGCAGCCTCCCGCAAGGAGATTGCTCAGATCAAGCCAGCCAAGCGGGAGCAGCCCAAAGAGCTGGCGCCGGCATTGGCGCATGGCGAGAATCCAGCGCTAAGCGGTGCTGCCAATGTTGTTAAGCTCGTGGAGACAAAGGAGAAGGGACGCTTTGTGGTGGCCAACGAGGGTTTGAAGTCCGGCGATGTGGTGCTCTGTGAGAATCCCGTGGCGGCGTGTCTATTGCCCAACTTTTTCGGCACCAATTGCCACCATTGCTTCAAGCGGTGAGTTTAGTATCAATATAAATGGCATATCCGATTAATCCGGTTGTTTTCTCCAGGCTGCACACCCCAGTTCCGTGTCTGCATTGCTCGGGCATTGCCTTCTGCTCCGCCCAATGCATGGGCGAGGCTTGCGAGACGTATCATCGCTTCGAGTGCCAGTTTATGGATCTGTTCATTGGCTCTGGCATGTCCATACTGTGCTTTGTGGCTTTGCGTATCTTTACTCAGGCAGCCAGCTTGGAGGATGGCCTGGCAACGGCTAATCTACTCTTCGAGCACTTGTGCTCTCATCAGTATGTTCGCGAGGCGGATGACTATCTGCAGCGTTCCCTAATGGCCGGCTTTCTAATGCGCATTCTACAGAAGGCTTTGTACTTTGGTCGACGCAAGACCGAAGGCGTCAATCCCACCGCTGTGGAGCTGCAAGTGGCCACAGCTCTGCTCGGATTACTGCAAGTGCTGCAATACAATGCACACGAGATCTATCACACCATGGTGACCGATGAGCACTGCTTCGACGGCTGCAAGGTGATTTATCTGGGCGCCGGATTATATGGCACCGGTTCCTACTTTAATCACGAATGCTGGCCCAGCGTAGCTGGCTATTATGTGGGAAAAAAGTTGGTCATGTCGGCTACCAAGCCACATCGACCCAACGAGATAGTCGCTGTTAACTATGGGCCCATATTTACCAAGATGAATCTGAAGGAGCGTCAGCGAACATTGCGCGGTCGCTACGCCTTCAGTTGTAATTGTCTGACCTGCCAGGAAAATTGGCCCTTGCTGCAGAAGATCGACAAGCAAGTCCGATTCTGGTGTGTGTTTTAACTATAAATGTATCTATGAAGTATAACTCCTTGTGTATTTTAGGTGCACCTCGGCAAATTGCGTAAATTTGCTCAAGTTTCCCAAGGATCTGGCAAAGGACGTGCGCTGTGCTCGTTGTCGCAAGAATGTTTCGTTAAAGGAGAGTGTCGCGAAGCTTATTAAAATAGAGGAACTTTACCGAGAGGCTGCAGAGGCTATGCAAGCCCAGAAGACAAATGAGGCAATTGAGCTTTTCAAGGAGGGCATCGATGCGTTCTTCCAAATAGCTGCACTTCCACACAAGGATACCCTGATTGCACAGCAGGCTCTGCTTAAGTGTATGGCCAACACGGGTACTACGTTCAAGAAGTAATATTTTGTATTTTTATTTATTTACTGTTTTGAATCTATAAGTTTAATATGCGAGTATTTAGATAAATTTATTATTTTCACAAATTTACAGCAATTTTGTTTAATGGAAATCACTTGAAAGTGAACATAAAACGGATAAAATTTTAAATATTAAACTTGAGCGCAAAAGTGAGAATCAGTGTTGAAAAACGTTTCAGTCTATGGTGTCCGATTAATTGCTTATCGATATGACAAATTTAAAATTGAACATACTGTTATGTTATTTGCAGCTGAAGCCCTATTAAATGGTTATACTGATTCCAAATGTTAAAGCCCTTAGCAGTATTTATAATTAGCTATGTTAATATGTTAATGTCATTAATGTGCCAGATGTTCTGAGGCCATATTATCGATTATTTTGTAGTACTTTGCTCACTGCTATCGTGCTATCGCCCATCTCTATTGTCTTTGCAGCCAGCTGCTTTAGTTCGGCTTTTCGGCTTTTGCGTTGTTGTTTGGATTGATAAAAGCCGGAAAATGTTTAAAAAACTAAAGCCTGGAGGAAGCGAAGAGGATGTTCTGCGTATGGCCGCGGAATTTAATGCTGAGCGTCAGAAAAATCCAAATTTCCAACCAGCGGCCACAGTTGTGCGTGTGGAAAAGCGTGAGTCTACAATGTGCTCTCAGTAAAATATATGCTAACCCAGTTTAATTTAATAAAAGCGGCCGGAAAATCATTGTTTGCACAAAAGCGAGAGCTTAATAAACTCAAGAGCCAAGGAGGTTCAACAATCGCCCCGGAAAATGTAGCACATGATAAAAAATTGGAAGATGTTAAAAGTAAACAAATACTGCTCGATGAAATACACGAGAATATGCTGGGAGATGTGCGCGGTAGTAAAGTAGATTTCGATCTGATAAATAACGTGGTTGGTGAAATTGTTGAAAGAAGAGAAGGAGTGCCGCGGCAAGCGGCGAAAGAACACCAGCTAAATCAAGTAAGCGCTAATATAAACAAGTTGTGTGCTTAAATTTAATCAAATTTCTTCACAGCAGAAAGGCAACAGGTCGAAAAGTATTTTTGCACAAAAATTCAATGCAAATCAAAAGTTGACTGTAAGCAGACAAAATGATTCACAAAATATTAAACATGATAAGACACTGCCAGTAGCCAGCGCTATTGTCCAAGATGCAAAACTATCCAACGAAATACACGCCGAAAATCTGAATATACTCAGCCAAATGCGCGAGGAGGAAATCCTGGCAGAGCGACAAAAGTTGCTGAGCTCTCTGGGTAAATATGAATAAAACGGTAATAGATTTTATGAATAAAATGTGTTTCTCCAAAAGATCCTGCTTTGATTGAGCTGCTGGTCAAAAAGCGTCAAAGCCAAAAGGCTAATCCAACTATGCCTAAGCCCTTGCCCACTGAGCTCCAGCTTTCACCAGCGCCAACTACTTTAACCGACTCGAATCCGGCACACGAGCTGCTACAGCAAAGTGATGAGGGCAATTGGTTAAATTTCAATTTGATTGAGGAGCACAAATTGGCCTGGATGCGTGATATACCCGCGAGAATAGCACAGATTAAGCCTGGACAACAGTTTAATGCTCGCTTCGATTGGAAGGGCGTTTTGTTGCCACACTCACTTGAGGAGCTGCCACAGAATGTGGATGATCGTGAATTGTATTTGCATGGTGAGGAGCCTGAGCGGCCGGGCTACACGCTGCAGGAGCTCTTTCGTTTGGCACGGTAAGCTTGACATGTTCGCACCAACTATACATAATAGCAACAAATTATTCTTTTGCAGATCAACGGTGTTGCAGCAAAGGATTTCTGCATTTGGCGCGATTGCTGGCATATTCAGCATTTATAATCAGGGCTTCTACGACCAGGTGCTTACGCTGCCCATTTCCAAAATATTCTTTCTGCTGCGTTTTGGACTGGATGACAATACACCGGCACAACTAGAAGTGGTGAGCAGGGCTTTGGCTCGACTGTTCTACAATGAAACGGATGAAGTTCTCCTGGATCATATCCATGAGAATGCATATTGCCATTGGCAGCCAACGCTGCAGGTGCTGACCGATGGCGACGACACAAGCGAGTCAACATCGGTAGCCTTTCTGCAACGTTACATGACACTGTTGCGCACAAATTCTAAAGCTGTAAGAGCCGATGTTGATGAGGATCAGGCGGAAAGCGATAGCCGTATGTCCATGGATGACTTTCAGCTGGCCGAAACGGATCTGATGAGTTGCCTGATGCGAACGAATATTTTACAACGTATTAGGTATGTCTCATTTAGAGTATGCTCCAATTTCTAAAGTCTCTCTGACTAATTACAGCTTTATATTGAGCTCAGTGCGTCCTGAAAACAGCACAGTCGAGTCCTGTCTAAAGCTGCTCATTCGCATTGCACGCACAAATTTGGAAGTGGCCCGGCAATTGGTTCAGGAAAAACAACTTATGAATGTAATTTTGCTCAACTTCATGCCCAAAATAACGCAGTCAGGTAAGTGCATAGACAATAAGTTTTATTAGAAATGTAAATATACATTTATTTTTCAGCTGCTACCAGTACAGCACAGCCTTCAATCTACGGCCATCCGCAGTATCTGTGCTTGAAGCTGCTGCGTGTTTTGATCTGCCAGCACCTGGACATAGCTAAGCAGTTGGCGGATGGTACGCTTATCCAGAGATTAAAAGACTTTTTATACTATCGTGATAATATAAGGGTAGGGTTTTCAATATGCTAGTTTTTAAACGGTTTATTCATAATGCATCATTTTTGTTGCAGGGTAAATTAATTCGTGTTCAAATTGAAGCGCTGCGCATTTTACGCTGTCTGCTGCTGCTGGGAATTATAGATCGTGAATTGTTCAAGTAAGTTTTACATATTAACCGAGCAAGTCATCAACAGCGGCTTTAATGAAAGGTCCATCCGTTTCGATGTAGCATTGTACCGATTGATATACGGTGTCACAGCCATCAACACCCTCTGCAGTCAAGTAGATAATAGATGTGTGCTATAAATTGACTGTTGGGCCAGAATGCTACCGTACTTACTTTTCGTGCCACAGGAATCTGCTAAATTCAAAATTTTGGAATGTATTTCCACTGGCAAGACATCTACCAGAGATTCCAAGTGCATAACGTTGTCACTGTCGATCTGTGACAATTGGTAGATTAAATGACATTTTTTAATTTTTTGTGGGTGTTTTGTACATACCAATCCAACCATTTCAAACATGCAGTGCAGAAAGCATTTAAAGGTCTGATCGTTTGGCAAAACACCCTTATGCGCCTGGCTCACTAGTTCTGCAAGGTCAAAAATCCGTTAAAGGAGACTTTTTGTAGTTAGTATTTCACCTGTGGCCCACCTTCGGAGACGCCAGTTGCGGTCATGCAGCGCGCATGCAATTTTTTCATCTGCTTCCTCACCACATCGGGTATTTCCCACTGTGTGAAGTTTTTATTAATAAAAATAGACAAAAACTTGAACAGGAACGTGAACAGGAACTTACGGCCTGATGTGGCGTTATGGCACTGCATAAGACGAGTAATGCCAAGCTTAGGCCTAAGGTCTTGGAGTACATTGTAAAATCCCGAATGTTTATTGCTGTTTAAGTTATCCGCGTTGGACTGCAACCCCGTAGCTGTTGCGCTCAATACTAACTAAGCCCTGCCCGGACAGTTGCCTACATATAAAGCTAATCATTTTGGCGGTGCCACATGCCGGAAATAATTCCTATTATTCTGCTTTTACAGGCAATTCCTACCTGCTCTGCGTCAGACGCTTGACTGGCACTATAATCATTGCGTATTCGAAGTGGGCGGTCCGGCGCTTATACGACAGCACGCAGCTGCCCTGATGGTTGCCATTGTGGCCAGTGGCGAGTGCGGTGTGTGTGACATAGAAGCGCAACAACTATTACTAGAGCCATTGCATAACTGTTGCTGCAGCTGGCTGCACAAGGCGACGCGTGGTGAGGGACTCAAGGATGTGAGTGAAGTATTATTGATGCCTTCAAGTACCTTTGTAATATAATTTATACTCCAGTACACACAGCTGACGCTCTTAAGTGCTTTGCTCTATGCTGTGGGTTGGTTCTCACGCCATGGCTACCTCGGGGCAGCGTCCTTTCAACAGTTCCTGCGCAAAATTCTGCCGGAATTCGTTTGCTCCACTGGATTTGTTGCATGTGTGCAACAGTTGGCGTGAGTATACTTGACAGGCGGTCTTAATTAGTTAATCAGTTTTAATGAATACCTCTCAACCCTTCACAGCAAGAGCTCTATAATTTTGCGCAACATCAGTGATCGGCGCAATGTGCATGGCCCGTTGCCAAACGTGGGGGCGGTCTTGATGAACGACTACGGGCCGCAGCTTATTGTAAGCGATACATATCCAGTGCAATTGCTGAGCAATATCTGGGCTTTGCTTGAGCCGCCGCTGGAGGATGGGATGAAGCCACTCTTTGAAGCTCTGCTACAACCCGCTGTGCTGGAGCCCTTGGCAGAGTATTTAAAGCAGTTGAGCACCCGGCTAAATCGTTTTCTGGCCAGCAACTTTTTTGCTCGCAGCGAACTGAAGCTTGTCCATCAACTACTCAGCACCGATGGCTTTGAAACCTATTTGACACGCACTCAACTGCTGCAGGTGGTCTATAACTATCTGTGCTCCCTAAGCACTGCGCAGGCCAAGCAAATGAAAAGCATATTCGATCGGTACATTTTTAGCGGGCAGTACGTGGAGTTGGATTCAAAGTCGTTGCAGCTGCTACAAGAAACATGCATGGAAATTGTCTACTCACATTTTATAGCTGTACGTTACGATTTAGTGAATGTGAATGTTTCACTTAACCCTTAATTATTTGTATGCAGGACAACAAGGATCCTACGCTGACGCTCTGCTATACTCAAGCGCCTGTGCTGATGCCAGATTGGCCGTATTTTCAACTGCGACTGCTACTTAACAATTATTTGCAAAATGTGCAGCAGGTTCCTGCGGTTATATATTCAGGTGAGTCGACACACAAGATTCTATGCTTTTATTTTTATTCTAATTTAATATAATCCCCACAGAGAATCAGGTGGTGCGCATGACCTTCAGCTTTGTAGAGCAGCTGGAGCAGCAGGGCTTACAAATTGTCAGCCCACTCGAGAAGTTAATGTATCTGATGATAGCTTTTATGGGTCCCGACAGTCAGTTTCTGGAGCCAGAGCTACACAAGCTGCTGCACAAGCAACTGATAGATTTCAACTCGCGGAATAAAAACCACTTTTTCGACTTTGAGGCTACGTTTGAGGACAAGGCCAATTTCGAGCCGCTCTACTATCTGTTTGTAAACCATTTTGAGGCGGCCAGCTATGGCGACGAGCTGTTTAGCTCATTAGTGCTGCTCCCGCTGGCGCAAAAGTATGATAATAAGTGGCGTCGCCGAATCTGGTCCGAGCACGTACAGGCTATGCGCTTTTTAAATTGTGACGAGAGTTTGGTATGTGCAAAGAAAAAATGTTGCAATTTAAATATTGTCCTAAATGCTGTTTTATTTTTCAGTTGATTGGAGGTCTGGATGCTTATCTAGAGCCCGTAGAGGATGAACCCTCGCTGGTTAAACTCTATGGAGATGCACTGCAGCGTCAGCTAGTGCGGCCTGGCAGCATTGCCCACACAATTGCCAAGCATCATTTCAACAATTCAGAAGCAATACAGAAAACAAAGACATTTTGAACAGCTGCATAAGAGTCGAATATCTTTATGAACATTAATGTTACTTTATGAAACGTCTCCTTGGGCTAACTTTGTTGCCGTGATATAGTTTGTAAATAATTCAAAACGAAATGCATATGTATAATTGACTCATTAGCTTATAAGTTGCCAGGCGACCGGGCTTGGATTTCGATTATAGGGTCTGTAGGCCAAGGCCTAAATAGATTACGCAGAAAACAATTAATATTGTGGTATAGTTTTTTCCTGCAGACTGGCTTGCGCCTGGGATTGTTATTCAATTACATGCTCGAGTGAAATTAATGTAGCATTATATAAGAACGTATGTATGTGAGGAGAGATATATGTCATTCTTAATTGTAAGCGCGTTAACTATTAACTGTTTCTAGCAGGTTGACTTTGGAACGCAGAGAGAGAGAGAGAGAAAGAGCTTTACTATCACCCTCAATTAATTAACATCACTTGACTTATTGACAACCGACAAACGCCGCACATGAGCCACATCTTGGCCGCTGCGGCTGTCGTCTATAGTTGCCCGCGACTGCTGATAAAATATATGTAATTATAATGAAAGCAATTGAAAGGCCACCAGCTAATTAAATTATATGCCATACGTTTGTTGATGTGTGTGTGTGCGTGTGTGTGTGTGTCCACAACACAAATGCGCCTACAGACCCACAGTCAAATGTCAAGTCATAAGGTCTTTCGTGTGGCATGCAGCTTATGTGTAATATATAATATGATTTATGATCCCAATAATCAACATCTTAAAAGCTTCTTGACGCTCTTCCAAACTTAAGCAAATGCTGTTCCTAGTACATTTAAGATTTTCGGGGTCCTTGAGGTCATTAACATTTAATTAGCATTTTTCAAATTGAAGTCCTGAAAGACCTTGCTTCAGTGACATACGGAAATTCTGTTCCTTTGTTCAAACACAGCAAACTCAAGCATTTGCATGATGTATGTTTACATATGTGTTCCGGTGCCTCTTGTTGGCCACAGTGAATTGCAAAATAACCTCAGGAGTTTTGAAAATTATATTACCTAAAATTTATAAAGGCATAACGGATTTTTCTTATCCTTAGCCTGCTCCGCTGGCGCATAGCCAAGCTTTGGATTTGCTCCACTTTGAACTCGCGTATGATGGATGTTATCGCATATCTCTTGAGTTGAATGCGTACAAAAATGCGTGCACCAGTTGGGCCTTGTGCTCAACATTAAATGTATATGTGTAATGTGTGTAGATATGTGTAAATAATTTCAGTTTGATTTATTACCAATTTTTTCTGCTGATTTATTTATTTTTTTAAGAATCTTGAGTAAACGTCTTTTTTTGACGTCATGCCAAACACTTTAGGTATTTTTGTGAGCCTTTATGTGAGCTCGATGTGAGCTCGGAGTCACCTCAATAATAAATATTGTATTTATTTATTGATAAGTGTTGAAAGTAATTACAAATTACGTTCGACTAAAACGAAAGCTAAAGCAATCAAGGCCTTAATCAATTTGTATTTTATTGTATAGTTTAATTAGATTCGGCATGTCGGTCTTTTGTATAAACAATATTTTATGCTTATCTATTTAATAGGGAAATAGGCAAGCTTTGAGCCACTTCAGTTGACAAATTGCAACAATTTCCAGATACCTTTCCCAACTGCACAGGCTGAACACTTGAAATTCTATTGCATATTTATTTGCATTAAATGTCCCAATAAAATTGCGTACAAAATTAGTTAATGAAAATAGTTTAGACCTTATCGGCAACGAGCTTGTCAATTATTTGTCAAAATATTCAAACGAACATAGTGTATTCACATTGTGTTCGCTATTTGAAGCTGTTCGGTGCTATTTAAACAGGACTCAAGTTATTTACATACATTTTCATGCCAGTCGCGTTCAATGGTTGTGTTTGTATACAAGGACATAATATACTCGTATATCTAGTTTTATGTACATTAAGGCATATTTACATGCCACTTATATTACGCTGCACACTGAACGACAATGCAAACGAATCCTCGCCAGAGTATAAAAGTATGCTAACCACCCTAAAGAGCAGTAAAAAACAAACATATGAATCAAAGTGCTGGCAGAGACCAGATACTCACATAAGTACGTGTATATATATATATATATATGTATATATGTCCTTATATGTTTTATATAGAAAGCTGTAGAGCGAGACTTGGCACTCATGTGTCCACCACTGATTGAGTGAAATTTTTTGTGCTGCACGCTTCAGCGATTTGTCATCGATCACGTCACAGCTTTGCCCGCGGGCAATTGCCTGTTAAAGCTAGTTTTTGTTGCTGTTGTTGGTTTTGTTTTAATTTTGTGGGTTCGTCGATTGGTCGCGGGTTCGTCTGTTCGGATGGTACCGTCCGCCGCTTTCATCAGTTGTTGCCGCCGATCGCGCGAACGTTTCGTTTCAGTTGCTCTTTGGCTCTCTGCACGTGCGGTGCGGCGGTTGGATTGGCTTCGCTGTTGCGACCATCTGAAATACTTAGGTTGTGGCCACGCTGGCTCCTATGTACTTGAGGTACATTTAAATATCTTCCAGTGAATAAGAAATCATATAAATATAGCGTTTTATTTTCGGTTTGCTGCATAAAAAGCAGCCATTTCCATTGTTGTGTATGCGTTCAAAAAAAAAACAAAACCAAATATACAGATGTACTTAGATATTTATATTCGAACCGAGCCCCACAGACTGGCTGGTGTTTCGTTTGTGTGTCTTAAGTGTGCTTTATGCAGTCCAGCCAACTGCTATCTTAAAAAAAAATATACGTAATTAGTGTAAAATGCATTTGCCAAAAGGGGGGCAATGCCTAAAACAAAAGTGCAATGCCATAAAGCCTCACAATGCATGACTTAAATTTTAAGTGCGGCCGCGGCATTTTCAAAGTTTGTGGCGTTTCTTTTTTCCGTTTCGTATTTCAAAGATTCACGTGTACAACAAACTTATATACTGGCGCATATATACAATATATAATAAGATTATATACAATATTGTATTGTACAAATACATAATTATTTTGTTAGTCATTATGTTTGTGCCGTCGTGTTTTGCCTTCTGCTGATAATGCTATTGCCATTTCTTGGTATTGAATTGTGTTTTGTTTACAGATTTTGTGTTTTGTCTCGTGTTGTTTGCATAATTCTCTGTTTGTCTTTAGCCGAGTGATACAACAAATATTACATGAACTGCATGGAAAGGTACAATTAACCGTCCTCGAAGAACTACACAAAAACTTCTTACTCAATTGGATTTAAAACACAGTCAACAATTGGTAAGTAAGTTTCTCAAATTAGCTGGCATAGATTTATATTATGTTTACTTTTGAACACTTTGGTCATGTGTCTGGCATCCGGCGCGAAGAATGAACTTAGAATGTTTATCTGTTCATTTCTTTATTGAATGCTTAAGCTTTTTTAGATTAGTCTGAAAGGAAAACAAACAAAATCTTTATTTACTCAAACAAAACATTATTTGTTTCATTTTCAACCCCGACCCGAAAAAGTTCGTTTAGCTCAGCATTGTTATCAAAAGCAATATTCTGTGAGCATTTAAAAGAAAGTCTGCGCATGAAAATGTGCATACTTATGCATGTGTTTATTCATGTACTTAGCCTGTGCACAGTTGATATACTTATACGTATTCTATAGTAGATGGGCGAATTTTCTATTCTGCTTTAAGTGTCTCTTAGTTTAAATGCACTTGAACTTGAGAGCTGTAATTGTTCTCTTGTGAATCTGGTTTTTGAGCTGTTTTCCCTAGTCACAGTCTCTTTCGTTTTGTATTTTTTAGTTTCGGATCATCTTTTGACTCAAGTCGATTTGTGGCATAAATCAGGGCAATGTGTGATGACCGTGGTTATCTTTGTTCATGACAGAGTATTTACTAATCGGCGTGAATTTAAGTGCTTCTAATGTCTAGAATAACACGAGCATTCGGGCACAGTTTACGGTCACTTGCCGCATACTGCCACATATATATATATAATTATATATATACATATATATAGTATGATCTAGTGTCCACTTACTTTCGACTCAGACTCGCATGTGCCTCTGTGCACTTTGAAAAGTAATGTAAACAGCAACATGCGGTCGCGTGTCTGGTTACATTCCGACACTACCCGAAAACCTAGTGTCATATCTTCACGTACTGCATATAAGATATGGTTGTTGGTAAATTAACTAAAAGGCTTCCAGTACCATTATGCCTCGTAAAATAATTCTGATATTGATAAAAAAATGTTGTTTAGTTAAAACAATTTCGTTTGATATCAACTGATATGAACGTTCGATAAATTGATTAGTTTGTGCACTATGTTTCCTATGTTCTATAAATATGTTGTGTTATTGCTTTATTAGCTATAAAAATCAAGGCTGAGACTAAAACTTGTCAATGATTATGTTCAAGGTTCAAGCCAGCGGCCTGCCAGTTTCACTTCTCGCCAGGCTTTGATTCGAACCTTGATTTTCAAAAAATCCAATGCCCAATCAAATTGTACTGAAAATATTGCAAGCCGTACATATTTTCACATACAAGATGCGGGCTAAATTCGATCTACACCCAAAACTGGCATCCGCCAAATATGGTATAAATGGATCGATCGGTTTGGGTTTGAACTAGTTCGCTGCTCTGAAAAAAAATACAATTCATTATTTTTTTTGAAGCAGTTCTTATGTAAGCTAATAATGTATTGTATATGTATATATGTTCATTTCACAAACTCACCCCTAATTTCTGTCAGTGTGTATAATTTAAAGAACAAACATGCTTCCAAATATCAGATGACGCCAAGCCGTGCACCTGCCACGGGAAAGAGTACACAAAAAGTTCGATTCCAGACTATCAGCTTTCCGGCAACGACTGCATCTGCTGTCTAAGGAGCTGCGCATGCGCTGTTTACTCAATCAACCCCTGTGATATTGAATATGCCCTAAAAAGACACCGCCATGTGTATAATTGACTTCATTAAGGGGTTGCATTTAAGGGTGGCACCCTATACACATCAACAGAAATTTGTTTATGAACGGAACGCTGGGTAGGTTCACTGTGAAAGAAGCCAGACCAAGAATCAATAGAAAGATCTCGAATCATTTAAATAGGGATTTTTATTTTCATGCAGAAATATATATGTACTTATATGATCTGTTGCTTATATGTAATATTTAACAGCTGAAGACTTTTGCTAGCAAAATATGACAAGCTATCCA